ACGCCAAAGCCCTTGTGGAGAGGCTGAGGAACCATGATGATGAAGCAGAGTCTCTCATCGAGCAGACCACGGCCCTCAGCAAGCGAGTGGAAACGATGAAGCAGTATCAGGAAGAAATCCAAGAACTCAATGAAGTGGCAAGACACCGGCCAAGGTCCACGCTAGTTATGGGAATCCAGCAAGAAAACAGACAGATCAGAGAATTGCAACAGGAGAACGAAGAACTGCGAACATCCTTGGAAGAGCACCAGTCTGCCTTGGAACTGATAATGAGCAAGTACCGAGAGCAGATGTTCAGATTGCTAAAAACAAAAACAAAAACAAAAAAAAAACATGACCCACGTATAATAATGAAGTTAAAAGAGCAACACTCAAAGGGTTTCCCTGTGTAGCCCTGGCTGCTGTCCTGGAACTCAACTCTGTAGACCAGGCTAGCCTTGAACTCTTGATCTTTCTGCCTCTGCCTCCTGAGTGCTGGAACTAAAGGCATGTGTCACCATACCCAGAAATACCTCACATTTTTAATTGACATTTTCTTTTGTCGTCACCACCCTGCCCTCTATTTCTTGTTACATATTGTATTCTCCATGGCTTATTCTTGTAACTCACATTACTCCGTATTAACAGGGTATCACTGTGTAGCTCTGGCTACCCAGGAACTCACTGTGTAGACCAGGCTAGCCTCAAATTGGAGATCCATCTGTGTCTGCCTCCCTATTGGTGTCCTTAGTAACTTTAAAATGGTGTGTCAGTGTGTGTGGTGTCTGTGTCTGTGCAGTAATAAACTATTGTAAAAATAAAGGAGTGTTTATTTTAAAATTAAAAAAATGTCTTGTAAACACTAAGTATCCTATAAAGGTTACCACATACAGTAGCTGCCCTGTGCATACCTGGGGAGGCTGAAGGGTGGAGGACACATGGGCAACCACAGACCAATTCAGGAGGAAACCTTTTGAGCTTTTGCAAGTTACCACTGTGGCCTCCAGGTTTTAGGCACAGTCACGAGTCTCAGCATCGGTCTCTATGATCTGCAGTCTGCACCTCATTTGGGGCCCCTCTTGCTTTTGGGCCTCTATTATGATAAGTCTGCCCTACAGCACCATCCCCTCCATAATGCAAGTGGCTCCTGAGTGGTGGACACTGACAGTAGGTATTTGGTGTGAATCACAGGCACAGATGACATGGAATATTTTGTCTCCCAACCAGAATGGTGTAAAATGTATAACTTTGGTGGTGTGCACTTCTGGAACTTCCTGGATGATATTTTGACCTGCAGTGCTTAGCATGAATGGGGGAAGCATGTTCAGGTCAGGGAGTGTCCTGGATAGTTCAGTCAGCTACAGGTTCATCCCTGTGGTGAAACCACACCCCTGGAGGATAGGTCCCCTAGTTACTGGTTGTCTGGGAAAGCCAGGGCTCACTGCTGAGCACAGGCAAGGCCATCCCCTGCTTGAATCTTGGTTTATGATAGTCAGAATGTTATGTTTACCTCTGCCTGGCTTGTGTCCTGGGGTGGGTGATGTTGTGATTGGATGTCTGGCTTGAGGGCAAGGATTTTCACATCACCCTACAGACAGCTTTCCCAAGCTAGTTTTCCCTGCTGCTACTAACCCTGTTGCTGCTGCTGCCTTGAAGGCCTGACCACACTCATGTGCCATCATCTGCCCCACCTCCACCCCAACCCCCCACCCTTGTCGATGCCAGGCTTTTGGTTATGGTGAGCCAACAGTCCCTGCAGCTCAGTATCATCCAGACCTCAGCAGGTGATCCCTAGATCTGGTTGGAGTCTTGAGTGTCTATGTTGCCCTGGTAAAGCCTGCAACTTTCTCCTGAGGCTGAATGGACCTTTTAAGTGGTGGGCCAGGGTGGTTGAGGATTCTTGGAGGATCTTATCTCCATGTCCTGAGTGAAGTTACTTCCAGTTGAGTAGCCCTTTCTCTGTGGGGTAGGTGAGTGTCTTGATCTGAAATTCAGGGCTGCCGAACCTGTATTGTTTGTTTACATTCTTCCCAGAAACCGGCTCATAGGGGACCCATGTGTTTGGCATCATCAAAACCTACCCAGTGGTATTTCAAACTGCCACACCATTTCACATTTCCCACAGGCACACTGGAGTGGCCCTCCTGGGGATTTGTTCTGGCTTCTCCTGTGCTTTCAGCTGCCATCTCCAAAGGTGTGTGTGTGTGTGTGTGTGTGTGTGTGTGTGTGTGTGTGTGTGTCACAGGTATTACTATATGAGGTTGTACAAACATATGTGCAATTGTGGATACCAGAGTGAACTATCATGTATCTTCCTTGTGTGACAGAGTCTCACTAAACTACTAGCTCTCAGGATCCTGCTGTGTCACTCAAGCCTTGCAGGGGTTAGAGGTTCCCACTCCCACATGCCAGGATTTGTTTAATGTAGTTGCTGAGAGTTCAAACTCAGTTCCTCAGGCTTGCAGAGTGATTGCTAACACCCTCTGAGCCCTCCACAGCCCCACTTGTTGTAAGAAGCCTATAATCAGGCAGGCAAAGGCCTTGCTGGAGGGAGATTAAGACAGAAGCTTACAACCAGGCAGGCCAAGGCCTGACTGAAGAAAGATTAAAAGAAAGGGAGAATAGGCCCACTATCCAGAGATAAGAGTGAGCATGTGTGGTGTGTGGCAAAGTGTGATTGGAAAGATTTAGCAAGCTATTTAAGGGACCACCTCAGAACTGGGAATTTTAGAGTGTACCACGACTCTATGTCCTGGAGCTCTCCTCTGCTAAACTGAAACAACCAGTCCAACAAGATAAGAGAAGCCTATTCTGAAACCCAACAACCAGTCCATCAAGATAAGAGAAGCCTATTCTGGCCCTCAGGAGACTCAACAGCCTGAATCCAGAGAAACACAAGTCCAGAGCCTGAATCTGGGGCAAGATGCTGCAGGAGAGGTACCCTGCTATGAGCCTATTGTCTGTGGTTCTTAGGATTGCTTGCTTGTGCTTGTATGGTACTTTGACATAAGTGTGAAGTAAAACTTACATACTCAAAACCAACTCACTGAGTCTGTCATTCATCCCAGGTCAAAACCTGGTAAGACAGTTGGTGTAGTCAGCAAGATTCAGGCAAGAACGAGCTCTGAGGAATGTGCTGGGGATAATTGATTTAATTGGCAACTAGATAGGACTGGCTTGGTGGAGTAACAAATTTAACTTCCCAGCCCATTTGCTAATCCAAGCTGCTGATGGATGCCTTCAAGGTATTGAAGGTTTTCCAGAAACACCACCCTCCCTAAGGGTGCAGAGTACAGAGAGATTACTATACACCTTGATGCCAACTAGGGGACTTTGGAAACTTCCAAGTCTTGGAGGAAGAGCCGAAGTGTCATAAGGGAAAGTTCCCGATGTGCCAGTGGATAAGTAAGAGAATAGAAAAACGGGCATGTTGTAAATTTGAAAATTTACTGGGAACAAAGAAAATTGGAAACTTACAGTGGTAATGGAGGAAAAAGGACATTAAATTTTTATACGCTCTAGCCAGTTGGTTTCGGCCATGAATAGATTAATTTAAAAAATTAAAAAGGAGGTTGACTCGGCCCCTGAGGACCAAGCAACCCTGAGTCTGCTGAGATTGCTGGACTACTCCTGCCCCCACTGAGGACAGAGGTGAGCTGCTTTAGCCCCTACCTTGGGCCCAATTTCTGCCTGCCCACTCTGGGAACTCCCATCCTGGGGTCTGCAGGCAGATCGATTTGGCCCCTGAGTACCAATCAACCCAGAGTCTGCTGACATCTCTGTGCTAGTCCTGCTCCCATCAACCTGGAGAGTGAGTGCCTCAGACCCACCCGCACCCACCTTGAGACCCATAAGAATATCGGACCATCTTGCACCCACCGGAAGAGAACCTTGGACCCGTATACACCAGAAAAGGAAGAGACACTACCTGCACCCACTGGAAGAAGAGATGGGAAGACAACAGTACAAGACATATCCAACAACAGAAAAACCAGAGTCTAGAGACTCTATGCCAGCAAGAAGTGAACATGTCAACACAGATGAAGCATAAGAGAGCAACCTTAAAAACAACATCATGAAGATAAGAGAGGAAATAAGAAAATCCTTCAGAGTACTGGAAGAAAAGACAACCCAAAAGATGCAAGAAATCAACAAATCTTTTAAGGAAAGCTAAGAAAATGCAATCAAACAGCTGAAGGAAACAATTCAGACAGTTCAAGGCCTGAAAACTGAAATAGAGACAAAAAAGAAAACACAAACTGAGGGAATGCTGGAAATAGAAAAGCTGAGTAAACAATTAGGAACCACAGATGCAAGCATAACCAACAGAATAC